GGCCTACATTGGGTGAAGAAGGCCCTTTCAAATAGTAGAATATGCAGACTCTTCTTCAAACTAAGAGTCCATCAAAACTGGCATCAAAACTTTCTAACTACAGTACAGTAACCATACTCGCTTCACAGGTGACTCCACAAACCAGCTAAGAAACTAATTAGCTAGCTATTAAGGTTATTCACCACTTCACTAATAACTAGTAATCTTTGCTTAGCTTATTAGCTTAGCTATTCAGTTATTAACCAATTCCCTAACTAGCTTTATCTTTGGTTAGCTCATTACCAATCCGCCCCCCTCAGCTACTTACCTAACCAACTAACTGTATTTATCAATCTAATAACTACCCCAGCAAACCAGTAACGAATTAATTAACCAAGGACTAGCCAGCTAGTTAACCTTCCCCAGCGATGTGCCAACGCTGCCAACATAATTATATGCGCAAAGTTGCAAAACCATCCATAAGACGTTAAGAACCATTGGCCAAAAAAAAAAAAAAAAAAAAACATTGGCCAAAAAAAAAAAAAAAAAAAAAAAAAAAAAAAAAAAAAAAAACGTTGAGAAGGGGGGGGGGGGGGGGGGGGGGGGGGGGGGGGGGGGGGGGGGGGGGGAGGAGGGAGGAACTCGGGCCGCTACTAACTTACAACGCCCGTCTGTATCTTATCTGTTTTTGCTCATTCTATGCCATGTTGCCTAAATCTCCACTTAAGTCTACTCCTCCTCCTCCTCCTCCTCCTCCTACTCCTCCTCCACCTACTCCTCCTCCACCTACTCCTCCTACTCCTACTCCTACTCCTACTCCTACTACTACTATGACTACTACTACTACGACTACTACTACTACCACTAATAGTACGACTACTACTACTACTACTATTACAACTACTACTACTACTACTACTACTACTACTACTACTACTCCTTATTTTCCTGTTCCGTCTGCCACTCAGTTATACTCGCTCCCTACTCGCTCCCTACTCTCTCCTATCTCTTCTCCCACTGGAAGCCCACCAACAGACATACAAAGCCAAACTAGAAGTACTCGACATTTGGATTAATCTCAGATTCCCCTCAGAGACGGACTTGTCATAGTGCATATAGCAAAGACATTCACGCACGAACTAGAGTCACGTGTGATCTGATCCTTGAGAAAACGGCCGTCTGCTATCGGTCCCATACAACAGAAAAAAGAAGCTTTAATCAATCATCACCAGAATTGAAAAAGACTATGTGGCGTATGTGTGCGGCATTACATATCAATGATATCATGAACACAAAGAAAAAGAGCTCACTAGGAACTTTCTCCCTTTCTAAGTTCCCAGTACGTTTCTACATCTTGTCTCTCCTGTCGACTCAGTGTCGAGCAACCGAAAGACCTGTGGAGTCAAGCTTCTCTGATTTGAAATTCTGCACTAAATCGGGCGCAAACAAGCAAAATCAGATCGACGACCGAAGATTGACGACCCTAGAGCAGTCAATTGCTGTAAGGCAGGCAACAAACCAGGAGACCACCTATTTAGTGGCGATGACAATGCGTGATGATGCGAGCTTTCTAAGTTTCTAGCGGGTTCCTACCCCTTTTGTATTCTGTCCAGCATCGAAAAACCGGAGGAGTCGCTCACTAATCTGGTTCTGGACTAAATCAGCGTGCAAACTATTGTCTTCGCCCAAATAGAACACCCGGTCATTATCGCTGTTTCCGGATTGAAAGTTGCGCCAAATGCAGCTATAATGCCTGGGCGTTCTATCCGAGTGAAGACGGTAGCAATCAAACTGGTTACACATTGAGACCCTCGCCCTCGACCAGTTGATTGCTCTCAGGCAGGCAACATGCAACGACACCGTCTTTTTAATCGCGATGACGAATTGAACTTCACATGTTAAAACTGGACTACAGCGAGCTGATTGCTGTTTAAGGCAACAGGCACACAGATACTACTCCCTTTGGCGACGACGATGATGATGATGATGATGATGATGATGAAGATGAAGGTGCAAACCAAATAAATAACGAAAGTTGATGATGATGATGACGATGATGCAAACCAACTAACAAAAAAAAAAAAAAAA